TGAAAAATGCATGATCGTTTTACAAATTGATTTTCAAATTATAATTTATCTTCATAAATATTATTGTGTTTGTTTTTTGCAAAGATGTAATTATTGTGTAATGCGTGCACGTAATGCATTATTGCACGTTCGAGTGCGTGCATTTTGCAAACCTAATATCATTTAAAAAAAAAAAGCAATTAATCAGACTTTATTTAACAATGATATTCCTAATTAAATTAACTCTTGCAATTCTTTTAACTAATTAAATCTTCCTCTTACTGATGATAATTATAAATGATTGTTTCAACTAACAAATAATTGGCAATTAAATAATTTAGCAAATATTTATCAATTAAATTTTTTCTTCAACTTCAACGAATTGCAACAAAAAGAAAGTTTTGCTAACATTTTCATTTCATTTTTTAGAACAGAAAAAAATTCAAAATTTACAAAAAGAAAAATTAATTAATTTCCTTTTATTTAACAATGATATTAGTAATTGAATTAATTTCTTTTAATTTTTTTAAGTAATAAATTTATTATTAAATTCATTTAATTATTCATTATTTGTTTTTGATGAAATAATTGGATTAAATGAAAATTTACAAAAAATTATTAGCAGCAAAATAATTTTCTTTCTTCGTTTTCTCTTTTAATCATTTAATACTTAATAAAAAATTAAAATAATTAATATAATAAATGAAATGGATATGTGTGTGTGTGTGTGTGTGTGTTGCAGCGTTAATGTAAGTGCTATAAAATAAATAGTATTATTTTCAAATCAGAAATTTTTATGAGAAATAAAAGGAAAAAGGAATTGTTGAAATGATAATTCAATTTTCACTTATTTTGTTTTTCATTTCCAATTTTCATTTACTTCAAAAGATTGGAGGATTAGAAGAATAAGGAAAAGTTTTTTGTTTTTTAGGGAGTTTTTCCTAATTTTACTATCATAATTAATTTTAGTATATCATAATAATTATATCATGATATATCATAATAATTAATATATCATAATAATTAATTTTAGGTAATAATTGCTTTCTTCTTTCTTCTTCTCTTTTGTTCTTTATCGCGGAAATTATTAATTTGAATATTTCGTTGTTTTGTAGGCAAATATTGTTACAAAGGGTTATTGTTTATGGAAGATGAATTTTATTCTTCCTGATATTCTAAGATATTCTAAAATATTTTAAGATATTTTGATATTCCAAGATAAATATCCGAGAATATCCAGGATAAAGTTAATCGCAATTTTCTATTAGTACTGTAACACTGAAGACAATCCTGTATTACTGATATAAACGATATTCACTCTGGTGTCAATAATGATGATACTGTTGCATTCGAATTGTAACCTATATTTAATGCACTTTGTTTTCAAAAAAAAAGCTTTAAATAAATATGTTACTTTAATATTTGCAACTATTGAATAAAGTGAACAAATGATTCACTTAACGTTTGAATTTATGAGTAATCTTTAGTATTAACTTTACGTATAAATTAAATAAATGATAAATTTAGAAGAATTTTTCGGAATGTAAATACTTCGATTATTTTGATATAAAAATTGTTTTATAAAATTATTTCGGTTTACCTAACATACCTGTTTTCCAATAACTTCTCTCTCTCTCTCTCTTTAGATAATTGATATGTTGTGGAAAATAAAATGAAGCACATTAGTTGAAAAGATAAAAAAAATCTTCAATGCAGTTTAATAAAAATGCAAGTTCATTTCAATCGATGTTACATTTTGTCTATTTTATTTTCAATCTTATCACTTGTTAACTTCATCAATTTCTCAACTCTCTCTCTCTCCGTTTCCATCTCTCTCATTCTCATCTTTTTCGTACTTCTATCACATCTCTTTTTAAAATTTTATATTTAATAAGCATTTATGTGTCTGATTTGTAATCATATATATAATCACTGATTCACTGATTCATCAGTTTCTTATAAATTTTGTTACACTAACTTTTTGTCTTTTCTTTTTTGCAATTATACTTATAATGCTTATTAAAATATATATTTTATTGAGGAACTATTATAAGTTATACATGTAAGGATGCATTTGTGAAAGTTAAAAATTTGAACTTTCAAATAGGGAAATTTAAATGGAACTTGTAATATTATATTAGATGATAGTTCGGAACTTATAATATATTAGAAGATAGTTCGGAACTTATAATAATATATTAGATGATAGTTGAAAACGTGCAATAGAGTTTATTTTTATCACTATTATTATTATTATTTGTTTATATTGAATCAAATATTATTGATATTATGCAATGATAATTAACAAATTAAAAATTGTCCGATCATTTTGTTTTTATTTATTTTTCCTTTTCATTTGATATTTCGCTTAAAATTTTTGTATTTGTTTATTTAAGTAAATACCATATGAAAGCATTTTTTTGCAAAAAAAAAACAAAAGTTTTTAAGCGAATTTCATAATTAGCACAATTTTAAGTAATTTATTAAAAAAATTTACAGACATATTACATATAATACACCCACATATACACGCACCTACGCATATATGCACACCCACACATACACCAACACACCCGCACGTATATATATCCATACATGTGCCTTTACGCTTATTTAGGATAAGCTTTGATAAATGTTTGGATTAAAAAACACGCTCCACGCCCACACAGGTATATATCTCACATACGCCTATCCACACACATGCACCCACATGCATACACCTACACGGATATATATTTCGCATACACATACCCACACATGCGCACACCCACATACACATATACATGGATGTTATATTTAAATGGAAAGAGATGAATAAACATATCCTATTGAAATTTCATACTTTTCGAATATGGCAATACATATCATGCAAATTAAATATTTACGCTTATTTAGGATAAGCTTTGATAAATGTTTGGATTAAAAAACATTTAATAGAAAGTGTTATTATCTTCTCATCATTTTACACTTTATCATATTTTAAATCTTTTCCAATTTTAATTTTTTTCCGATTATCCGATTAATATTTATAAATATCTTTATCAATTTGTTTACACTCTTATATCAGTCAATATTGTGATTCATTTTTCTTCTTCTGTTTCTTCATCGAATTTACTTAAAATTTTCCAGAAAAATGGTAATTTTTTCATTCCGGAATGAGAGTTGTCTCATTCAATAAGTATCATTCCGGATAAGAGTAGTATCATTCCGGAATGAGAGGTCAAAGAAAATTAAAATTTTGTTACATATAAACTAATTTTGTTCCTTTTTAATTGGTACTTTTTTTTCTCAAATTATCGTCTAAAAATATAATATTTTCAATTTCTATTTTGCTTTTGTTTTTAGTTTCATTAGTAAACAATTATGCTAAAGGTTTTTGTTTATTTAAATAAACACATTCTTTAAAAGAATATTTGTTTACATTTTTGTGCTTGTTTATTTAAATCGTAATTATATTTAATTTCTTAATGTGTTATTAAATTAATTATTTCATTCACTAAAGAATAACAATACTTTAAGATATTTGATAAAACATATTTAATATTTCATTTATTGTTATTAATATTTAATATTTATTATTTATTATTATTTATATTTATTATTTATTATTATTATTAATATTTACATATTTATTATTTATTTATTATTTAATTTATTTAATATTTCATTTAATACAAATTGTAATACATTTTGACATATTGGAAATGATTTTTATTTATTGATTTCTTTTCTTACATTTCAAATTCGATTACAATTAATTTCAAATGATTGCTATGTATGATAATTTATTCTAAAAAAATTCGTTGTAAAAAGATTTTGCTCTTTTTCTTTATTTAATTATTTAATTATAATATTTATTTTTTTAAATTGTATTTCAAATGAAATACAGAAAGTGAGAGAGAGAGAGAAAGAGATAGAGAGAAAAAGAGAGAGAGAGAAAGAAAGAGTAAATAATAATAATATGAATGGAAGAACGAAACACAAAAATACATAAAATTTCTTTTTTAAAAAAATTAAAAATTTGTTGATAATACCATCGAATCCATTATTGTAAATATTATCGGAACGAAAATTATTAACCGGTTTTGATGAAAAAAATTTAGCAGCGTAATACTTTACTGTATCGATTACTTTTTTTTCCCGTTGAATAATCTTTTCCGGAAATATTCAAAGTCATCTTTACGGAAAAAAAAGAACCGAACTTCTCCCGTTTTTCTTTGAAAAAAATTTTTTGTTCTTGAAATAGTTACGAAACAAATGCAGAAAAATATTACTACCAAATTATTTTTACATTCGATTTCTTTAAAGAAATAAATGTTGTTATCAACAATATGTTGTTTATGTTGTTATCAACAATATTAAAATATTGGATAACGATAGACTATCCAAATAGTGATTAAAATCCAAATAGTGATTAAAAAATTAAAATATTTTATTACAGTATTATATGTAATGATAAAAAATACAGTTTCATATACAGTATTTTATATAATAGCTTACGATGGATGCGTAGTAGAATGTTCATATTTTTTCACAGAATACAAAATTGAACAGTCCTTTTTAACAATTTCAAATTGTTGATAATGCGTAAATACGATATAATGATAAAAATAATTAAGATATAATAGCATACAGTAGATACGTATAACAGATATATAAATTACAGTTAAACAATGGAACTGTTTTTTCAACAAATTTCGATTAATAAAGAAGTGAAAAATATTTTTGAATTATTGTAAACATCACTATACTATTCAATAAAACTATTCAACGTGATCGACATTTCGTAATCTATCGGTGCTTTTTTACAACAAAAAAAGAAATGAAAATAATATTTGAATATTGCCTGTATATGGATTAATAGTATCTTTGGTAAATCAAATTTACTAAATATTTTCTCACAGATATAATAATTTTATATGTTACATTAAAAGTTATTTATTTTTGAGATAAATTTAAATGGAAAGAAATTTTAACTATGATATGATATTATTTATTTTACAGTACATTGGAGTGAAGAAATGGCTGAAGAAAGTGATACGTTAACAATGAGTGAACAATTACGACTTGCGAAAGATATGGGATATTCTGATGAGGAAATTATGCAAGCGATTAGTATGAATTGTGATAATGATGGAGTATAATTTTTCAATTTTTACTTTATTCATTTTTCAAATTTAACAAAAATTAATTATTCAAATTTAACATAAAATTAATTTATAATATTTAAAAAATTTGATGGAATAATAAATGTATTCAATGTGAATGCAATATCATTTGACTGATAAATGATATGATTGATATATCATTTCGGAATTATCAAAAAATATATCATCATCACATATCATCATCATGAAGGAATAGGATCTTTACTGATAATTGTCTAGAGAGAGTGAGAAAAGAATGATAAAGACAGGGAAAGAGAGAGATTATAATGAAGGAATAGAATCTTTATTGATAATCGTCTAGAGAGAATGGGAAAAGAATGATAAAGAAAGAGAGAGAGAGAGAGCAATTTTATAAAATTGATAATTTAAATTAACATTATCAACTTATGCATATAAATTATCAAATGGATTATCTGCTTGGTTAGCTCTAAATTGTAAAATTAATTTTCAAATAAGATTAATATTAATTTAATTGTTCATGCAGATGTTAAATTATAAGATTTTTTTTATTCACCAGTCATATAAAAGAAGAGCTCAGGTAAATTTTATTGAAATAACGATTGCAGTGATAATATAATTTAAGGAAAAGAAAAGGAAATGCATTCAATCAAAATTTGTTGACAGCTAATATCTTAAATAGCAATTGTTTTAAAACAACAATTATTTCCAACATAATACAATATTTCAATATTAATTGTAAGAAAATAACTCTCAAATGAACTTTAATTTAATATGCAAATTTAAATATATAAATAATAAACGTTAAATCGAGCTTTAATTTCTTTACAGTCATATCGAGCATTTTCATCAACAAACGCTATGATTGATATGTTAGCACGAGTGCAACGAATGTGTGAAATAACCGAATCTATTGATTCTGGATCCGGAATTGGCAGAAAATATGAAAGAATCATTCCGTTAAGGAATGGAAGCAATGAAAATTTAGAACGAAGGTTGTCCAATTGCTGTTTCCGTTTTGCACTTTGCAATCGTTCCTCACTTTCACCACAATCACATGAGTTAGTTCATCGAACAATACAAAAATAATTTAGTCTTAGGTAATTAATTAATTAAATATTTGCGTAGCAATTTATTATTTCTCAAATAATTATATTTAATTTAAATCGCTACGTAAATATAAATCTTTTCTCTTTATGAAATTTTGAGTAAAGCATATTTAACATATCAAATTTGAAGGTATTTAATTAAAATGATCAAAAATAATTAGATGAAATTTGTAATTAATTACAAGTTTACAGTAACTATGATCATGGTTCATTATCACATACATCTGGTTCAGGCATACGTCGCGCCATATCATTTCATAGTGCATCACCATCAATCCGTAAATCAACAGGTTTAATAATTAAAATTGAATTCCAAACAAACAAGACGATTACAATCAAGTAAACAATAATTTTCATCGCCTTTCTTATAACCATTTGTTTGATCTTGCAGGTATATAAAATATGTCAGAAATAGTAATTTTTCAAAAATCAGTAACTGATATTAAAAATCAATAACTGATACTGATAATGCAGAGCTAGTGTACTATAGTGTTATCAAACACAAATTAAATTAGCAAATAAAGTTTTAGTAAGCATGAGTGAAGATAATGGAGTAAAAGGAAGCTTGAAAATAGAAATTTTGATTCTAAGAAATTTATTATATCCTAGAAGAAATTTAGTTCCTGAGAAAAAATCATTTACTTAAAAGTTATATCAAATGTGTTTTATTTGAAAGGATAGTAATTTATTTATCATAATTTTATAATTTTATAACTTTCAAGAAATGTTGACATCATCGTTTCACGAATACCTTTCGAATCCACCACAATTTCAATTACGACGATTACTTGATGCATTTGAAAAGGAACAGAAAAGTTTTAACGATGAATCAACGCGATCAGTTCGTGCTCTTGAAGTATAGTAATTATAATTATAGAAAATTATTTTTTATCCTATAATTTAATTTTTGATTTTTTAAATAAGAAACAATTTTTCTTTAATTATTCCACGAAATTAATTTGGTTTTATTTTAGTTTAGTTTTATTTAATTTAGTTTTTAATCAAATTTCTGCAAATATTATTAATTATTCCACGAAGGAATTGAGCTTCTGATTTCAAAAAAAGATTCTGAAAGAAAATGATTTTGCATTTTCTAATTCAATGGAAATAGCAGAAGAAAAAGATTAAAAACAAATGACAGTTTTAAAGAATAATAAATCAATTCGTTAATTTAATCTTTCCTAAAAAATTAATCGATTGGTTCAATATTTTTTGATAATAATTTGACGAAAGTGTTGAATTATGATTGAAATTAAATTTAGGAAAGATGCAGGCAATTTGCGGATAATCAAGCAATTCTACAAGTTCGACTTCTGGAAAAAGATTCTGAAATAGAATTACTAAAAACTCAACTAAGTACACGTATTACGGCCGATGAACAACTTCGATTAATGAAAATGAAATTGGATAATGAAGTAAAAGAATTGATTATTCAATAGAAATTATTTAATATGAAATATGCCACAAAGATGTTTCTACATTAATTAACATCTAATCACCGCTATTGGCGACATTTTATTTTAAAACTATTTTTATTTCCTAAATTTTAAAATTGTTTTTATTTCTAAGTTGAGCTTTTATTTTTATCCTATTCATTAAAGGTTAATTTAAGTTACTCGAAAGTAAGAGTAAAAGTGATCAAATTCGTGTTTTGACACAACAAGCTGAAGTTGTTAAAAGACAACATGAAAATGAAATCGGAGAAAAGGATAAGGTAATTTTTAAAAGTATTTTAAAGTAAATTTTTCAACATTAAATTGATGTCAATTGGTTGTTGACCTATTTTGGATAATTGAAATACACAAGAAAATTTGGATAGATTTTAAAATATTAGCAAAAATGTTTTTATATGACAAAAATAACCTATAATTATGTTTAGCATGAAAATTTATAAATGACTAGATAATTTGATAAGTGAGCGGATTAGATAGTTTGATAAGCGAACAGATCAGATAATTTGATAAGCGAACGGATTAGATAGTTTGATAAGCGAATGGATTAGATAATTTGATAAGCGAACGAGAAAATATGAGCCTATTAATGTAATTATTGAAAGTTATCAATGAATTTATCATTCGTATTATCAGATATCTAACCTTAATATAGTTACCTATACTTCTATGAAACAATTATTTGACTTTTTTCAGTCATCCTAACTTTGTAAGAAGAAATCCTTGTGAAATTCCCAAAATTTTTTACTTAATAAAATAGTATTCTTAATTAATTATCATATTTAATAGTCATATTTGATGATTATCTCATTCTTCTCTTCACTGTTAATTGATTAATCTATAATTGTTTTCAGATCGAATGATCGTTAAACATTTGTTTTTTACATATAACTTCAAAATTTTTAACATTATCATATCAATACTTGTTTAAGCATGCATATAGAAATACCAATGAAATTAGCAAAATTTCATTTCATTTCATTTATTTCAGTGTATCAGTGAACTTTTCTCAAAATTGAAAGCTGCCGAAGATGCAAGTAAACCAGCGTTGGAAAAAATTGCTAATCTTCAAAGTGAAATTAATGAGTTAAAACAACAGGTCATTTTAATGATATATAGGGAAACTTAATTATTTTTATTGTTTTTTCCTCTTTGATAAAAATAGACGATATCAGCAAGCAAATTAGTCTTAAAATACTATCAATTTCATTTATGATAATAAATTTCCTTCTTTTTGTTTTGCTTTCTGTTTCAAAATTCTTATCAGCAAATTATCAATTTATTAATTTATTACATAATATGTTTCATGCGTTATACACGTTGTACACGCTATACACATTGTACACGTTATGCATTTATACATATAACACACACACACACACGTTATAAATTTATACACATTACACACTTAAATATGTTATATACTCAAGTATGTTACACACTTATACACATTATACACTTACACACGTTACACTTTATGCACAAATATACATTATAGTTATGTAAGCTATACACTTATGCATGTTACATACTTACGAACGTTATGAACTCATACACGTTACATTTATACACGTTATACAGTTATACACGTTACATGTATGTTACACATTTATACACATTATACACTTGCACACGTTACACTTTATACACTTATACATGTAATAGTTATATAAGTTATACACATATGCATGTTACATACTTACGAACGTTATGAACTCATACACGTTACATTTATACACGTTATACAGTTATACACGTTACATGTATGTTACACATTTATACACATTATACACTTGCACACGTTACACTTTATACACTTATACATGTAATAGTTATATAAGTTATACACTTATGCATGTTACATACTTACGAACGTTACGAACTCACATACGTTACACTTATACACATTATGCAGTTATACACGTTACACACTTATACATGTTATACACTTACACACGTTATACGTATTATACACGTTAAACACTTATACGCATTATACACGTTGTGCGTTTTACACGTTCTTATATACATATAGAATTGCATAAGGGAAACAGAGCATTTTAATTTCACCTAATAATAATTTACTAAAAATAATTTATCATTTTTAATTTAAAATTTAGTTCTTTCTTTCTTCATTTTAGTTAGTTGAAAAAGAAGTTGATCTTAAGAGATGCGAGAATTATTATGATGAAGTACGAAAAGCTGAACAATTAGTTGAACAAATTCGATTGGAACGTGATGAGGTACGATCAACACTGAATAAAATACCAACTTGTGTTATTTGCCTTGATAAACGGGTATATTTTATTTTTCATTTAAAATAATTTCAATAAATTTAAAGTAATTCTGATTAATTAATTAATTAATTAAATGATGAAAAAAAATGATGAACATAAAAAATAGTCGAAACAAATCTATGATTTTTAAATTCAGTGGGATATGGGAAATTTTGAGCAGTGAGATTAACAATTAAATTTAAAATAATTTCATTAATTAATTAATATATGAAAAAATGATGAACATAAAAAATAGCTGAACCATAATTTTGATTAATTAATTAATTAATATGTGAAAAAAAATGATGAACATAAAAAATAGTCGAAACAAATCTATGATTTTTAAACTCAGTGGGATATGGGAAATTTCAGCAATAAGAATAAAAATAAGACGATGACGTTGATAACAAATTTTTCTGACGTTGATAACAAAGTTGATAACAAAATAGTGATAAATTATGATTATAACAGAATATATTTTTTTTAGCCACAAATGCTCTACATGCCATGTTCACATTTTATTTGCTGCGATGGATGTGGCAGTCGATTTGAGCAATGTCCTGCTTGTCGGCAAAAAATATGCGGCAAAATAACAGTTTATCAGTGATTAAATTAAACATAGATAAGAATAAAATTTTGAATTTTTTGTTATTCGATATAAAATATAATTAAAGAAAGAGAGGGAGAAGATAAAAAGAAATAATATAAATTAGATATTTATTTAAGAGATAAAAGAAATAAGCAAAAATTTTGTTGTTCAGAAAATTTTATCACAATCCTATTTATGTGTTCCTTTATCAGGCATATCCTTTAATCAATAAGGATATTTTAAATTTGGGTAATAACTTCTTTAAACATTATCCTGCCATTTTATTACATTGCATTATTACTATCACTATTATAATCATAGTTGTAATTGTTATTATCATTTTACTTATATTATTATCAATAGCATTTTTTGTGAATAATTAATTATTAACAAAGCCTGCCAAAATGTTTCTTTCGGAATTTTTATGGTTTCATCCTTCACTTCCGCTTTTCATTTCGCATTTTCCTTATTTGTTGTTATCAATCTTTTTCCATTCTTTTATTTTCTAGTTTATTATCACAATCAGTATGAGTTTTTAAAATAAAACTCTTACAATTACAACATTCTTAATTTATTATTTTCCTCTCTTAATACTGAAAAATAGTAATATTTTCAGTATATTTATCTGAGATATTCTCGGGCAAATGATACGATATAGTTTGTTTAAAATCTTAAGAATCGTGATATGCTTAGGAATCGATATGTTGAGAATCTTCATGCGCTCTTTAGAATCTTTTCACGTAGGATTTTAAACAATACCGTCAATGATCAATATCAAATGACCTTTTTTATAACATTAGTTTTGTTTCCGAAATAACCAGTTGTGTGATTTACTTTAAACAGTACTCAACGTGTACTGCCGAACTCTTACAGTGTTGTAATCTATTAGATCCTATAAAATTTCTAAACGATTAGCTCAGCAAACAGTCCCAAATTATTCTCCCGGATCAACAAGTAAAGAAAAGCAACCAGATGATCAACTCTATTTTTGATAAATTCTGATAATTTCCTCAAAATGAATTTCCATTAAAAAAGTCACAACAATTCCTTCATCAACAAAAATGCGTTATACACTTTCAACACAACATATTGTACGTGCGTTCTACACTTTCAACACAACATATTGCACGTGCGTTCTACACTTTCAACACAACACATTGTACGTGCGTTCTACACTTTCAACACAACACATTATACATGCGTTCTACACACAACACATTGTACATGCGTTATACACTTTCAACACATTGTACATGCGTTATACACTTTCAACACAACACGTTGTACATGTGTCCTACACTTTCAACACAACATATTGTACATGCATTATACACTTTCAACACAACATATTGTACATGCATTATACACTTTCAACACAACACGTTGTACATGCGTCCTATACTTTCAACACAACATATTGTACATGCGTTCTACACTTTCAACATAACACATTCTACATGCATTATACACTTTCAACAATAAAAAAAAAGGTAAGAGTGAAAATTCCCATATAATCGAAGGTATATATTAACAATGTCTGTCTGCAGTATTTTCGTTAGTTTCATAAACCTATGTGACTATTCTGTAGCATAAGAGGACAAAAATAATTTCAATAAGAAGACAGTATCCGATTGGAAATTAATTACATGAAATTATCCGATACATGGAGATTATTCTTTCCTGAATTGCGCTGTCGTACCATCTGGAATACAAATACGAGTACTGACAGATCAATTATTGCTAGTCATATATAGTAAATATATTTCATTAATATTTAGTAAATATAGTAAATAGAATGTTGGCTAATCTGTTAATTTGTCTAATCTTTCATTGTATATAGTAAATATATTTCATTATTTATAGTAAATATAGTAAATAGAATGTTGGCAAATCATATGTTCTATCAAATTATAATTTAAAATTTCAATTTCATCTATTACTTTTATCATTAACTTCTTTGCAGTCTTATCGAACATTTCCATCAACAAACGCTATAATTGATATGTTAGCATGAGTGCAACGAATGTGTGAAACAATCGAATCTATTAATTTCGGATTCGGAATTGACAAAAAATATGAATCATTTCGTTGCGGAATGAAAGCAATAAAAGTTTAGGTCGAAGATTGCCCAATTAATGTAGAATGCATAAGTGGCAAGAAGTGATATCGAATACATAAATGGCAAAAGAAAACAATATGATTAAGTCAACATAACACAATAGAAATTTATAACCCTGTGTATAAAATTATTTTCTTTATTAATTTACCTGTGTCAAAAGGGCTAATTGTAGAATATACAGCTTCTCACCTTGAATTTTTATGCTAGCTCACATGTTTTTTCAAATTACAATTTCGAATGAATTTCCTACCATGTTCATTACATTCGAGTGGTTCATTTTATGCCTCTGCACATTTCCATGCTGTGAATTCTGAATCCTTTATGGTATATATCACATTTTGTATTCTTTTCATCGGTATGTGTCTTCTCACAGTTTCGCAGATTGCATGACCATCCGAATTGCTTACCGCATATATCACATTTTTATTTTTTCCAACGGAATGTATCTTCAGGTAGATGGCCTAACTGTTTGAATTGCTTATTGCGTTCGTTACATTTGTTTTATTTTTCACCAGTATATATCGTTTGATGAGTTCGCAGATTGTTTGAATATGAGAAATTGCTTATGGGGAAGATTTGGATTTGGCACAATGGAACTGCAGTGAAGGCTTAGTGATGCTAATTAGGAGATCATATGATAGAAAATGATAACAAAGAAAGGATTACTTTAACATATATGGAGCCGATAGTAATCCAACGATCATATAGAGCCCTTACGTGTAATTATACCAAACAGAGCCATTGAGACAAAGAGCTCTCTGTAATCAAAGGGTACTTAACATTTGGAAGTAGTGAAGAACAAAGCACCGTATTATATTACTTAGACCTTCTTAGATGTTATAGGATTATGAGCACTTTAGGTGACCTGTTGGTTTGGGACTATTTGTTGAAGGTAATATCAGTTCAGAAAGGGTTAATTTGGATGCGGATAGTAACACCGAAGAACATAAAGATACGTTTTATTATTGAATATAATATAACAGTGGAAGTCGAAATTTTTGAATATTGAAATTAGATTCTAATAAAAGAATCAGAATGAAGAAGCCCTTCTGGTGATGTTTTTTTCTCTATACAGCTAAATTTGAAATTAAAGATTAAAACAAATGTTGGAATTTCCGGTAAAATTAAATGACAAAATGGTAATTAATCATACAAGTTTTAATTAAATAATTTTAATTAAATAAGTAAATTTTTTCGTAAACCATTAAAAATCACTGTAATTAGCAATGTTTTAAATGATAAAATTCTATAATACAAACTTCTACAAATATTATCATTTATTTTTATAACATAACTTTGGATTTTCGACATTGTCTGCAAAAGAGCAAATTATTTAAATGAAGAAGTTTAATGATAAAATCTGTTAACTCTAAATAAAACATAATATATTGATATGATATGATATGATCCTAAAAGTACTTAAAATAATAAAATGAACATAACTAACGATAAAATTCTACAATATAAACTTCTACAATTATTATTTATTTTTAAAATATAACTTTGGGTTTTCGATATTGTCTGCAAAAGACCAAATTATTTAAATGAAGTTTAATGATGAAATCTGTTAACTCTAAATAAAACAATGTATTGATATGATATGATATGATCCTAAAAGTATTTGTAATAATAAAATGAACATGTCTTATTAAAACGAAGTATTTTCCCATCATTTTGCAACAAAAATTTTTACTCTTAAAAAGAAAAAATATTATAAGTGAATTTTTAAAAAGAAATTTAATAAGTTTAATTTTAAAGGAAAACGAATGGAAATCAGAGAGAATAACATAATTTACGATAACAGGAAAACATCAATAAATCAATCGAAAGGTTAGCGACCATAAGGATACAGAAATAAACGGATGAATAAGATAATAAAAATCATTTAAGTATCATTTACGATGTTAACGAACGCTTTCAAACGATCATATTTCCATCGTATAATCGTTATACGATTATTTTTAATGCAATTATTATTTTGAGGAATAATCAGTTTTCCTAAATTTGAATTCATTCTAATATTGCTTCATCCCACCCCGTAAATAATTTTGAAATTGCAATATATTTCTTAAAATCTTTTCTAACCTTTGAGCAATAATTCTTTCTCTCTCTCTCTCTTATAAAAGGTCAAAAGAAGAAATATATTTCTCTTTCTCTCTCTTTATAAAGTTCAAAAGGTCAAAAAGAGGAAATGTAATATTTAAGATTATCAAAAGATTTAATAAAAATAGATATAGCAAAAGAAATCATTGATAAAAAGAAGTACAGGCAGAAAATAGAACTGATATAAAAAATGATTGAAATTAATAAAACAAAATTGCAGAAACATATGGTTAGCAGGAAATGATACAAAGCGAAAATTGCTAAGATTGCTAAGAAGCTCAAATGTCGCNCAGAAACATATGGTTAGCAGGAAATGATACAAAGCGAAAATTGCTAAGATTGCTAAGAAGCTCAAATGTCGCGCATTTCATATGGTTAGCAGGAAATAATACGAAGAGAAAATTGCTAAGATTGCTAAGAAGCGCAAATGTCGCACATTTTAAAATATTATATATCATAACTGATTCATTTGCATTCTTCATTGGTGAACATTTCTTTTTATTCAAATATGCTTTTGAAAATTTTTTAGAATTTGTCGTTTTTTTTACACTTCCAGTTTCCATCCTTCCTACAATCAATGCTTTTCCTGTCAGGTAGATAATTTCAATTAGTTACACATTAATTGAAAATAATGGAGTTTTGTACTAATTAATTATATTTCCTATTCTATTGCCTATTTTCGTACTGCAATCATTGTTTTAAATTGATAATTGTGTAATTAATATTTAATTTCTAAACTCTTCTTCACTCTCCTACTGATGAAATTTTAACGAATTTAAATTCATTTCATCTGATA